CGCCATAGAAACCAAGAGAAAGAATTTAATGGGAGCAATCTAAATTCAGTAGATATTATACAGAAAAGGCATTATAAATTCGATACCTTAGCAACTGGAACTGATCGGATGTACTGTCAAGAGCACTTGCAGAAATCACATGAATCATTTAAACCGCTATACATAAACGATTTTCCCATCACTTTCTAACGATGACCTTATTTTAAAGATAAATTATATTTTAATTTTATGAACAGCAATGATGAAAGAGGAATAGGTACGGAACGAGGCATCGATTCGCTACCTTTCTGAATAATAGTTAATGGTCTTCACCATCAGCCATATGATTCAAGGCAAAAATTTAAAAATAACTATGCAAAATGGTTTATTTATCGACGCGTTTCGGCATCCTACGCCAGCACCTTCATCAGGGATATAATTTGCAAATGAAACAGCACAATAATACGAAATACAGCATTTTTGTGACTTCATCAATTGTTCCATAAATACTTTCGAAGACGTTCTAGCTGTAACTCAAACTAGACGATATACATAGCTAGCTTTCGCTGGGCAACATTTGCAACGATTTTTAACTAATAGCGTAATGTTAGGACCAAGAAGAGAAGACCATTAAATGACAAAAATGGTCGTCAACTGTTTTACCAATATTTCAGTAAGCATGATCCAAAACAAAATACGCGTTGTCGTGCCGCGTCCATTATAAGTACACAGCAGCACAGGAAAACTAAGCTTTTGCATTCATACTTCTGAATTTAGTCTCTTGAACAAGTCTTCGAACAGAATTTCCAGCAATGATCCAGCGAGCTCGAGTCGTTTGTTGCCATAGAAATCAGGGTCATCAAATTCGCACACACCCAACTGGACTTGAATTAGTCGACGTGTCATCAACGCCACGTATATTCTCTTCAGTCTCATGTTCCAGTTAAATGCCTAAATGTACAGCAAAATTACTTTTAAAAAAGTTAACAGTTGCAAACACGACTGAAGTAGGTTTGAAGCAGTGACTAGCAACCAAAAAAATAAAAAAATTTTGCGAGACATGCACAGAGAAATACAAAAGATATTATGTTACAACAGTTACCGTATAATGACAGAAACGTTAATTAATCTAATCGACAAATAAACGATCTGTCAAAATTTAAACTTCCACTTACCGGAACATGCCCCAGAAAATAAGTGGCAAGAAAATTCCGAGCATCGTCAACCGGGGAACCTTTAAGGTAGAAGCTGTCAGCCTTGCTTTCGCGCACCCTTTGCCCAATATACGACAATGCCTGAAATAAATAATCGTAGAATAAGAGCAAACGCAACAGGAAGGCAACACCAGAGTACCCATTCACATTCATAATTCATTACTCAGTTATTAATGCAGGATGCTATTTCGTACTCCCGATTCCAATTCTTTCTCATTTCTGATACGTATTCTGATGTTGCACTGTATTTTGACACGGTAAAAATTCGAAGATCAAAGCAACTGCTCGTATATTTGATTGAAAAACAACTAAAACAACAAGTAAGATTCAACAGCAAACCAGCATTATTATTGTACTGATAAACTGTCAACTAGCAATCACGGTCAGTGTCTCACAAAATTTCGACAGTTCGCTGTGATTCTTGCAGTACTTCTACAATTCAACGATCCAGCTACAATATGAACATGGGCTTTAATTTATACGGATTCTTCCGTGGTCTGCTTCTGCTTGGCAAGATAAAGCTATACTAATCTGATGAGAGTTCCCATTCTTTGCCCAGGTTGACACTACTTCAGGACTGAATGCTTAATACAATGTACATTATTTGCAAAATATAACGACAGGGGACAAAGCAAAGCTGTCAAAAAGCAAGCCTTAGTATAAGAAAAAAAAGTATAAAGATATGCAGCATGTAGCAAATGCGCAACAGATGTGGATGAAACGACAAACGAAACAAGAAATCAGTCGTGCAGTTTGTCGAGCAGAGTTGCTTCGTTTATTTGTGAAATAAGCGGAATAATAAGGCATTTGGCGATAAAAGGCAAATGGATGCGATGTGAGCCTCTGTTCAGCAGAATACTAGCTTGAAACATTTCCTCGTTTTTGATGACAAGTTGCACTTTATGAAATCATTGAACAGTGGATGCTTGTAAATATCTAAAACGGTTCGGAGGAGTACGAGGTCCACGTTGACATTGGTCTTCTTCACAATCTGGTGCA